TTTTGGGTTGCTTTCTTATTACCAAAAGCTGAAGAAAAAGACTCATTAGTCATTAAAGAGGTTGATTGGCTTTTGGATTAGATTAAGAGGGAAGGGTTTTATGGGAAGTTTGAAGCAAGAATGAGAAAGATAAGATTAAAGGGTATCAAAGGAGATGAAAAGTTTTTTGCATAATGTGAAGGAATATACAATCCCAAAAGTTCATGTGACCAAGCTGACATTTCCATCATCCTTTTTTTGATTTATTTCGTCATGAGGTGGATTTTGTTTTCTTTTAAGAGAGAGAGGGAAAACAGAATGTTTAAAGAAGTAGAAGATGAGCATGCAAATGGGGTCATAATATATGATTGGGATCATGGTGAAATCAAATGGTACATGAAAAATCTTGTTGGGTTATAATTCTTTGCTTAGTGAAATGACTTTATCCATTGCAATAACACCAACTTTGGGTGGAACTTGATGATGTAAAAGATTCATGTGACTCCCCATGATGAATTATATTCTAATATTTAAGTGTATTAATTTACTTATAAGATATTCAAATTCGACTTTCCTAATTCTAAATATTTGATTTTGACTCAAATTATTACTAAGTTCAAATAAAATTTGAATAACCCTTAATTTGAGATTAACATGAAAAATCCTATTACAAAAAAGAGAGTAAATTCTTATGTTGATTTTTATTATTTTAAAAAATTTGCAAACAATATTGTTAACAATTCAATGTTATTTCAGAAAATTTTCTAAAGTTTGCATACAATATTGTTAATAATTCAATGTCTTTGCTTCATTTTTTGTTTGGCCAATTGGTTCTGGCATTAAGGTGTTATTATACTTGGATTAAAATTGAATAATTCCAATGAATGAGACTTGCTACGAAAAATAAGTAAACCCAAATGAAGAACAAGAAGCAACTGAGTAAAACCTTGAATCGTGGCTTCTCGGTGTAAACGTGTTGACGTGTCAAATGCTAGTTGTTATTTAGCTGTACTCCTTTGCAAGATTTACCAATCCTCTACGAATGTAGACAAGGATATTAACTGCAATCGTTATCCACTGGCCTCTAAAAAACTGCCAGTTGTCACCTTCCCGTTTTTATGATTGGTTCTTTATTGGGAAATGTATTTTTAGCTCCTTGATACTTTTGGGTTCCTGAAATGCCCTTATGTAATTATTAGGGGTTTAATGTTGGATTTCCAAAACAGCCAATGGGTTATAGCTGATTTACAGAAGTGCCATTGGAATTTCTGAATGCGCAAAGAGCGGAATGATTAGCGCGTGCCCCGTCCCGTCTGCTCTATTCGCTATGGATATTCCTCCCAAGAATGTCAGATTCACATTCTTTATGGCGCGTATCACCTACTCTCTGTGATTGTTTTAATATTTTTATTTAGTTTTCATGTTCATGGATTATGTTGGATCACGTTCAATCCGATCTAATTAGCCCACCATTTTATATATATATATATATATATATATAAAGTCAGTGTTTATTAGGTATTAATTTTTTATTAAATATTTAAATACTTTTAATTTATTTTTAATGAATTTAAAATAAATAAAAATTTATTAATTATTAATATACTGATATTTTAAGGACATAATATTTTCAAAAAATCTCTAAACTATTATTCAAATAACATTTTATTTTTTTATTATTTTTAATTAAATTTTTATATTTTTATTTTAATTTAAATAAACTTTTATGATTGACTGTTGATTAACAGTTATTAATCAAATCGTAAATTATTATTTTCAATCGCGTAATATTAATTTAATATATTAATATATCATAATAAATAATGACGTGATATGTTTATATATCACAATAACATTATCACATGACATATTTATTATTCACATCAACATTATTCGGATATAAAAATGATAAATGATTTTTAATTAATAATAATTTATTAATAATTTTATTTAATCTAAAATATATATAAAAACTTAATTAAAAAGACTAAAAAATAAAATTTTATTTAAATATTTTTTAAACAATTCAAAAACTTTTAAAAATATTATACTTATTTTAAAATTCAATTTAATCAAATCAACTAAAATCAATCTAGAAGGGCTGGTTTAGAGAAATGGTCCGACCCTTATAACGCCAATGTGGCTCAATTTATGCGTTTCTAATTGTTTTGTTTATATAAAGATTCTTTGGAATCATTAACTTAACCTGTTCGTTGTATAGGGCCTCACTGAATTTTATCATGGTGTACGAAAGCCAAAACTATAAGTTTCAAGGGTATCGGGCAAAATACAAATTAAGTATCATCGGTAAGCATAGATTTAGAATATTTATTTAATGAGGTATGGTACTTATAAAATTTATTACTAGTTATTTTCTATAATTTCATAATAAAATACAAAAATAAGTTAGATTAAATTTCATCAATTTTGATTCAAAATACTCATTATATTAACAAAAGTGATTATTTTACTTCTATATGCAATCGTTATAATAATAACGGTAATACTTTTTTTTAACAAATTTACTCATACATTTGATTAATTTAAAAACCTCAAAACTAAAAACAAAAGATTAAGAAAAAAGTGAAAATTATTTATTTTTATTTATTTTTTATTTTTTATTAAATAAGGGAAAAATAAATTTTCCTTTGAAATTCAAATAAAAAAAAGTATAAACAAAAAGCATGTGTTGCACTGAATCAATGTTGCCAATTCAACATCATCACAAGAGGCCCACAAGTTGAATTAACTTTCAGACTTGTGAGACCAAAAATAGCGATTAAACTAGTCCATTACCTTCTAACTATTAATAGAAATACAAATAAATTGGAAACGATGATTTTATTTAATTAATCTTAATAAATAATATTATATTATATAATTTATCGAGTCTGAGCTTGGGAAATATAATAGGAATCAATTTGATACGAAAGGTTGGGGATCAATTACGGTTGATCAATACATTTTAATTTCGTGTTTGAGCTTGAGCAAAATTTTACTAACTTGTGAAGAATTTAATATATATAATATAGAATCCATGTCTATAAAAGATTCACCATTGAAAGTTGACTATTGAATTTTTAATAATAACATTTTTACAAGTGCTTAATTGGTATTGTAAAAATTATTTGATATATTATATATTGAGATTTACATCATTTTTAGTAAAAAAAAAATTAAATGCGATTCTTTGTCATGTCAGATTCATGTAATATTATGTAATAACTTAAATACTCAAGTGCAATTAAATAAATAACACGTGATTTATCAAACGAAAGTGTATGTTTATTTGTGCAAAGAGAAAGAAAAAGAAGAAGCATTTGGCGAAATATATGTATGTAATGTGGGTACAGTAAAGCCATTGTAGAACAATAAAGATAGCACTAATATAAAAAAATAAAGCACTAAATTAAAGATAAACAAAGAGAGGACATTGTAATTGATTATCCTTTGAATCAGTCATCAAGACATCATTTCAATGCTGCGGTGTGAAAGAAATGGCTTTGCAAAAGGGGTAAGCAGCAATACAAAGTACAGAGACTTTATTAATTACAAAAATTTAAACTTTTAATTTCAAATATTTCAAAGTACAAATCACTAAAAGAATTTATATAAGAGGGATTATCGAATTGTTTTAATTTAAATGTGCTCTTTGGTAACTTTCAGTGATGTAATATATAAATTAATTGCTATAATATATATATATATATATAACATATGCGTGTGAATCTGATAAGGAACAGATAGTGAAAAGAGTTTTCCATTCTAACTTCTGCGGCTGTTAAGATAGGAGACTTCAGTTTCCGTGTGATCACATTTCTTTGACTTGGGCTGCCTTTTGGCAAAATCATATTTTCCATTTCTTTCGGATTCTGACTCTGCTATAATATATAAATGAAAAAGTCTAAAACTTATCACTCTTTATGCACAGGTAATAAATTTTAAAATCTCTATCTCTGCTTAATAGATTAAAACATGTGTATTTAGTTCAAAAAAAATCTGTCAATAAATTAAATTTAAACATAGTTATATAAAATAATAATCTAAAATATAATTTACCCGTGTTAATTTTTTTTCTTATGCTTCTTAATTTCCAGCAACATTGTTGAAATTATACGATTAAATATATAATTTTTCGATGATGATGGTAACTTTTGAAAGTAACTTGTAATATTTTAGGCTAAAATGGAGAAATCCGTTCAAAGTTCAAAGTTGGTAGTCCGTATATGAAAACATATTACGTATTGAGTTAAAAAAAAAAGTAATTGATATTGTTTTGTTTATTTTTATATTATTTGATTATTCAAAAAATGACATGAAATATAAATTAACAATATTTATGAATAATTCAAGTAATCCAACTGTTGAACATTAAAATTTTCTTTCAAAGATGTACAATGAAAAGTAACTCTTGATCTTTACAATGCAGCATCGGCTATGGTTGAGTAGCCAGAGGGAAGCTTTATCTTATTGAATGGTGGAAGAAATTTAAAAAGGAATGATGATTGCCTACTGAATTTGAACGGCATTGAATTCATGGCTTGCACGTCTCAGGTTGACCTCTGCTGTGGTCCCGCAACCGCGTTACCTTATATTGCTATTACACTAAGAACAGATGCACCCCACCGCCACTCTGCTTTTTCCCTAGGCAGGGGCATATGCTTCATCATCAATTCATGTGCATTATTAACTTAGTTATTGTTTTATTATTCACACCTCTTTTTCATTGCCAAGATTTGGAAGCCTAAAAGAAATATTCACACTCCAGCCCAGGCTGAAAAGTTGTATATTCGTTTGGAGTTGCAGGCCTTTCACCATAATGACCTGATGATAGAGGCTCCCCATTTCTCCTTTCATTCCCAGTAAAACTATTGTCAACCATTATTTGAATTATCCAATTATTTCTATTTATTTATTTCACTCATTTAAACTTACTAACTGTTTTAGCTTTTAGGAACAAAAAATTAACTGAATTTCATGAAGAATCCTCTAAGATTTGCTTTAACTAATAACTTAGCAACTTACAAGCAAACATGTGTGAAATGTTAAAGATGTAACGGATATGTTCTCAAATTAAATCATGGAGGATCCCTTCTTTTTCCTCTTGTTCTTAGGTTTTACAGCATCTTTCAATGTTTTCTGCCCTTTAGTCTGCATTTCAGTTTCAGATGCATCAACAGCTGACGATTTTGGATTAGCATCTCTGTACGGCTCCTCTCCTTCAGCTTCACCAGGCTTTTCCTCACCACTTGACCCCTGTTTCTTATTGCGAGTTGATAAACCTACAAATTCCACAGGTGAGAAGACAGATCAACTTGTGGTTTACGCTAAACTAATGACTTCTTTCCAAGTTCTTCAGATAAAAACAACCCCATTTGCAGCCCAGTTGTTCGACAGTAAAGAAGTCTTTCATTCAAAAGAAAGTGTAAATAATTATTCATCAGGTACAACGGTATTCTAGTTTTGCAGGAAATGGACTTTCATAAAGTTGACGTCATTTTATGTAAGGTTAGATCCTATTCCTAAACCAAGAGATGTTCAGATACGGTAAAAGTAAAGGACCAACCTAGCAATGGTGGTACTCTAGCAACTTAACTTTCAGATAATTGGTCTTGGTTGTTAACAGCATTAGGCTTTTGTCTTTTGAGTTTCTATCCACACATCTAAGACTATGATATAAATCAAAGCCTATGTCTGATTAAGATCCCGACTGCACCACTTTTATGTTTATGAGAAACAAAGATTATTCAAGGAGAGAATGTACATCCACTGACTTGGATACCATGAACAGGAGGGTAAGTAATAGTTATGTCAACTTGTGCAAAATAAAGCCAGCGGCTGGATCCTAACTTGAAGGTAATGAATGAGACCAAGCACTTAAATGAGGATGGTAAAAGTTCACTAGTAAGAAGTTAGAGAAACACACACTGATCATTTTAAAGTAGGGGAACCAAAAAAAAGAAAAAAAAAATGCATACCTTGCGAAGCTAATGAAGCTTTCAAAAATTCTGGATCAACACCTTTTGAGTAAGGATCCCTGAGGAGCAAGAAAAAGTTTTAGCATTAGTTAAAAGAGTTCAATGAATTAAAACGTAAAGACAGAAAGCCTCTGGTTCTTTAACTTCCGACAAAATCATATCTTATCACATAACACAAATAGAACAAAAAAAAAAAAATGCAGCTAAACATTAAGAAAGGACTTAACCATGCACAATATATCCCAATGAAGACAGGTTACAGAATATATCCCAAAAATTGATTGAATGGCAGGCAATTCTCCTAGCCATATACTGAAGGAGTGCAAGATTTCTATAAATAAGTTCCAAGCACAAAGCATTATGCGAGAAAGTAAAGCTTACTTGATGATACATGCAACAAACATCATCAATGTGCTGCTCACTCTTTTTGCTATAGTTTCAGTTTAACTGTCATATCAAGTTTTTCAATGTGGTAAACTTGTCAACTATTGTGGTAAACTTGTCAAATATCCACCACTTAAAGTAAATAGACAGTGTATTTTAGATAAAACCAGCTCAAACAAATTTCATGCATATTTTGAAACTATACTCAAGCTTTGATAGCATAATGAAGTTGTAGCCTTTTTAGTAAAAACCTTTCAAAAAAAAAAATCCTTAAAAACAAGAAACATGCATAAATAATAAACCAGCAAAACAAATAAGAAAAATAATATTGCACTGCATTTGAAAATTTAGAAAGGTATATGCATCCATTGTTCTAGTCAAAACAAGGTTTGAATCATACTGAACCCTAAATAATTGGTCCCTATTGATAAATTCTTCAAAATTTTGTTATAATGCGAAATTATAGAACAAGAAAAAGAAATTAAAACATATAACAAAGGAACACTAAATTGAAATGCATAGAAAAGATAAGGAACTATAAAGGGGCTAAGGTTCTTTTCACAATTTTGGTTAAAATAGAATTCAAAAGTCCCAAAACTAAGTAAATATACAAATTATATATAAGAATATATGAATATTGACATGCTAAAATCTTACCAACTAAGTGGGCCACGGGTAAAATTGATACCATTGCCATCTGTCCCTCTTCTCAGTGCAGATAATTTTGAATCAACCTCATCATCATTACTTTGACTTATACAGCTTTCCCTCGATACAAGTTTTAATCTCTCCATGTATTGACCTGCCACCTCAATGCCCTTATTATCAATAGATTGGTTTTGGCTCTCTTTTATATTATTACCCCCACAACTAGGCTCACGCTTGATCTTTTGTAAAGCTCTTTCTGAGTTGTATGCTTCAACCTACATCAATTTATTGGACAAGTATTATTCTGGGCAGACGATAAAAGCTCGATGAGCAAAACACTTCTCGAAACAAGTAACAAGATCAAAGAGGAAGAAATTTTTTCCCTCGCTAGATGCATATTAAAAAAAAAGTTGGAAAAGGGGTTTTGTATTGGATAGAAATTACATATATAAGAAAAAAGAAAATCGGTTAACCATCTAATTGCTGCACTTCTTGATTCCTCATAAGCTTTCCAATTTTTTTTTCTTTCTGGTTCAGTATTTCTCTGGGTTATGTCAGAAGCACTTGTGTCTCTGGGTTATGTCAGAAGCAGTTGTGTCCCTTCAATAGTTACAGAGAGATGATGGCAAAGAGGAGGAGTAACACGATCAGAGAACAATCTTATTTCCTAGCTTCAGAAAACAGCATATTTGCCATATTCAAAAGATTTTGCCGCTTCGTTTGGCAACTTAATCTTATTATGCATCAAAAATAGTAGATATGAACAAGTGGTGTAAATCAACCATATTGAGATGACAAAAAGTGCAAAGTTATATAGCAAAATGCATAATGAAATTTGATTAGAAATGAGCAAGTGCTTAAGATATTACACCAATTCAAACATAATTACTCAATATAAAAGTAAAACATGCATGTTGTTAACTATGCCAAGTAAATTTTTAATTCTTTAACAATATTTTTTGTTTTTTTAATCCAAATGCACTTCTTACTTTAAGCTTCTGGAACCAAGGAGTATGTGGTATAAATAATAACCAAAAAGAGTCTAATTCAATAGCATATTGCTGCAAATTCTCAAAAGAACGTTTCCTTGACAATTGTCTTCCATAGCTACCAATTAGAATCTATAAACGAATTATCATGGTATGCCAAGCAAGTAACTGAACGGTTGAGAAGCATTTTCCCTTAAGTTTCAACAGACTATCCTGAAGATAAAATACTTACTGCTTCTTTTATCTGCTTAGTTATACCCGCAGCCATTGTAATAGCAAGTTGCAAACATTGAATGATAACACTCTGACTGACACCTTCTCCTCCAGCTTTTTGAATTGCACAAATGTCACCATTTGCGTTAACAATAGCAATCATTCTTCCAGCCATTACAGCCTCCTCATTGTGGGTGGGATCTATCACCTTCATGACATCTCATCACATCAGAAATAAAGCACACAAACTTTAGCTTTGAACAAGATGTTTCCCTTACAAGTAGCCTGAAAGTTTCCGAAAAAGGTTTACTTACCACAATGCTTTCATCAATAAAAAATCCAAAAGTAATTGCTATTGGAAGATGATGTACTATCAAAGGAAGTGGCTCCATCATCTATCAAAAGAAAAGACATTATTAAGAACTACATGTTGCAATATACAACTTCGTCAAAAGCCTAAATTAAACAAAAGAGAAGCATAACAACAACAAATTAGTTATCTTCAATGCAAGAAACAAAATCATTAAACTCCTGATTTTTTTAAGGAGTAAGTTTTGTACATTGTGGATTACACCTGGATGAATAGGAATTTAAGGTTTTTAATAATAGTAAAAAGGGATGTGCTTATAGACTAAATGGGAAATAGTGGCAGCAAGTAGATCAGAAGTGGGCACATTTGACTTTGAGAGAGATTGAAACAAGGAGAATGACTTGCTCACTTCCACCAGAGCGAAACAGGTGACTAACTCATTTTTTTATGGAACAAGGGCCAAAAGGATGCCTTAATGACACAGATTATGATTTCAGATAAGAAATCAACCACAAAACACATTAAAACCATCTCAAACTCCAAAACACATGTAAGAGCTAAAACATCCAATGACTCTGGATTCTAGTGGATTATCAAAATAATTCTATTTACTTTAGCAGTTTTGTGCAGCAAGATTAAGCCATCTAATTGGGTTGAAATCATCCTAAAGGCTTATTTAGACAGAACTTAATAGCTCAGACCTGCAGCTGGATGCTTTTCTTAGTCCAGATTCAATTGAATTATTATGCTTTTATTGGGCTCAAACTAGCCCCTTTACAAGGGATTAAAACAGTCTGTGGGCAACTAGCACCAACTAAACAACTGCAGCTGAAGAGAGGTAAACCAGGTCAAGTCATTACCAAATGAAAACGCATCAAAGATCACCAACCGTTGAAAACTATTAACTTCTGGAAACAAGACATTCTTCAGAATCTACATATAGAACATATATTCATGACTTTTTTGTCTCTGCAACAGCATTACCATCGGACATTGCATGAGAATCATATTAGGATTAAAACGGACCATTGAACATTGCAATAGATATAACTTATGATAGAATGTATTATCTGCAATGAAGCGTCAACAACAAACTAGAGAACAGATTCCAAATTGATTAGAGAAATTAAGACATCTAAATTATATGATGGAAGCGCATATCCGTACTGGTAGATTTATAAGGAATAAGTACAATCCTTACTATAGTATATGTTGCCAGCCATCAAGCTTCAACAGAAAACCAGCCAACTGATTTCAAATATGAAAGAAAATAACATATTCCTGGCTGGTAAGTTCATAAGACATGAGTACAATCAAATAAATGAATTGATTCAAAGAAGGCATTTAGAACTTCACAAAATCTTTTTGTTAATCACAGCCTTTCTAATTTGGTGTAATTGCCTTAGTTTTTATTTTCCTTTGGCTGTGTAATTCTTATAAATGCAAAAGCATCAAAATGTAGGTCTAAAAAGTCACTAAATTCTTATCAACTTCAAACATATATTTTTCAACTAGAACAATAAATGCAGAAAAAAGGTTCAATACCAAGACATCTGGGAAATCACCTCAGGTGGATGTATTATTACTTCCTGACCATCTTCTCCTCCTAGTGAGCATTCAGGCCTTCGGAAGGTCATAAGTGCAGCCAAAGCAGCAATATTAGCAGCATCAACCAGGTTTCTGTTTCCAAAAAGGCATATTGGTAAAAGAAAATGTAAACATTTAACATTAGGGAGGAGAAAACAAGTAAATAATGATATTTGGCAAAACGCATAAGATGGACATTGGTCTTACCCCCCATTATCTAGGATGTGGAGATCAATACGGATGCCCCATACTAACTTGCCAGAAACAATGCAAAGTGATTCAGTATCTACAGCCCTACTTTCCCTGCAAGAGCGCTCTAAACCTTCAACTACATATACAAGTTTAGACTGTAATAAGCCACAATATAGATGCCACAACATTCCCAGCAGCTTGTAAATTGTGATATAATCTAAAAGAAACATCCATAATTAGCAAAATAGAATTACTAACATGTACTTGAGAATGATCTCTGTAACATTAATAAAAGAAAGATCACCTTAGACCACGATCTACTATACGTCCCAACTCAACAGCAGATTCTCCAGGACGGCCTGTCTCAAATGACAGATCAGCCATTGGCGAAAACTCCGTATAGATTGTAAGTATTCCTTCATTAGGCCGGTCTTGATAAGGCTGAACCAATTTAGCCGTCACAATGCCCATAACACGAGTCTGGCCCAGCTGCACCTCTGCCAACCCATCTTCACTGCAAAATACAACATAACAACAAACAACCATTGAACTGTCATCAGCATAACAACAAAGACTTGGTCTACCAGTTCTTACCCTTATTAGAAAGGTTGAGGTCTAAGGTTTAAATCCCCTTTTCTCCCTTACACTTCTGCAAATGTACCTACTAAACTAAGGTACCCTTTGGTTGTTGCTTTTTGCTTACATTAGGATTCATAAGCAAATATATTATCTGGATAATTAAAATTTAAAATTGTAGCTTCTTTTGGAAAACAAAACGCATGATTTTACTTTTATATAGAATAATTACATCAGAATTGTTGTTGAACTTTAATTACTTGTTCATTTTAATCAAGTAAAACAATTTACTTTCTACTGATTATTCTCGCATTTTAGAAATTGTTTAGAAAGCAAAAATAAATGGCCAAAAAATAATAGTTCACAAAGTAACAAATAAATAGAGCCTAATTTTCATTAGCATATATTCTAAACAATCATAGAGCAATATAATTCGCAGTTTCTTCATTTGAACTCTTCAAAAAAGTACCCAAAAAAAGCTTTTAGTTGAACCAAAGCATTGTTTCGGTTCTAAAATTGAAAACCCACATTATTAAACCAAACAGAACAGTTACAAACATCAAAAGCTGAAAAAACAAAAAGAACCCAGGAAATTTTACTAGCAGATAACATAAATAAAAGTAAGACTGTACTTGCCTGCCAAAGTTAATGATGATATTACGAAATTCAAAGGGTTTTCGACCATCTATTCTTATTTCCGAAAGCAAAGCTGTTTTGATGAAATTCTTCTCATTCACTGTCAAACGCCATGTGTTGGCCAACTTAGAATCCATCTTTCCTTCTCAATCCTCTGCAACAAATCGGCCAGGATATATTAGTGACTCATAAATGTGAAAACAAAGCAGCTGATTTTTTTTCTTTGAGACAATTCATCAAACAGCTTTAAGGGTTTGAAACGAGCCATTAGCGAGGGATTGAAACCCAGTGATCCAGTACATTCAGCAGGAAGCCTTAAATCTAATTAGAGGGGCCGAAATAAAATTTGGTATTTATAATTAAAACTATTTATCCAAAAAAAATTCAAAGTAAAAGTGAAAATAATGTAGAGAAACACTAAATTTATGTACAATTATAGCATGTATAACAGTTTATGAATTTCTTTTACTGAATAAAAATTTGATTTCAAATATAATAATTCATATTACATATAACAAGAATTGAATAAAATTTTTATTTTAATATAAAAAATAAAAGGGGCTTAAGATAATACTTTTTTTAAGAAAAGTTATAAGCAAAAATTATTTTTTTTCTCGAGATTCAATTTTTTTTTTTGAAAAGTGAATATTTTATGATTTAACTGTCTTTACTTGTTTAGCATAGAATAAAACCGGTTTGCACAATAATTAATTAATAATAATTTATATATTTGATTGATTGAAAGAAAAGCTCTAAATTTAAGGAATTTAAAAATCACATGTAATCATCCTTATTAAATATAAATTATAGGAAATTAAGTTAATAATGAAGTTTTAGCAAAAATAGTTGACAAGTTTATTATATATTTATCTACAGTATATATTTTAAAGAGGGGTTCAAAGCATAAATTTAACTTTCTTTGAGTTGAAAAGTCATTACACGACTGCATAACGATTCCTCTATTCTTTTGTCCTCCACCAAATGGCCATACTCGATAATAACTACTTCGCGCAAGTCCGGGTAAATTAATTTTTTTTAATAAAAATATTTTTAATTATTTTGTGAAATTACTATTTATATATAATAAAATCCAACATATTATATAAAAAAATTTTTCTTTAAACTTCCTCCATTATCATTGTCTTCTGACAGTTGTGATCAATTTGATACTCTTTTATGTCGATCAGATCTTTGGAGTTGGAGCGACAAAGAAAAAAGAAAGAGAGGAAAAAAAGAAAAAAATGAAAAGTTTAATAATGAATTATGAATATTTGCAATAAATTATTAAAAAATTAATATTTCAAACTAAAAAAATAAATTAGCTTTTTAATTATAAATTATTAATATTTTAAATAAATAATAATATTTTAATATTAAAAATGAAATTAAGATAAATAATCATATTAAAGTTTTAATTAAAAATTATTAATATTTTTAACAAATTATAAAAAATAATATTTCAAATTAAAAACAAAAAATTATAATAATTATATCTTTTTATCACATATTCATTTATCATTTCAAAGTTATTTTCATCAACCAAATATAAAAATAATATTAAAATTCAAATTTCTAAACTCTAGACCAAATTATATAATAATTATTATACTTTATTTTATTCTTACAAAATAATTAATATATTTTGATTTTATTTCATTTTACCGACCAAACATGCTGTAAAACGATTACCAAAAGCAATTGTTGTTGTTTGTGTCTACTAATTATTCCTAGAGTCAGAGGGAAAGGAGTAATTATTCTTTTTTATTTATTTAAGTAGTTAATTATTTTTTTGATAAATAAGTAGTTAATTATTAGGGTTTAAAGTCACACGTGAGTACATTCTATGCTTCTTGTTTTTTGAATTATTTATGCATAAATATGCTAGCAATTGTTTATTTTGAGTTACGTGACAGGAAATCGTCATCTATAAATCTCACCTTTAATGCACAAAATTTTTAAAATATATTCATGTAACAATAACTTATTGCTACCATTTCTCTATTATTCATTTATTTTCTAGAAAATTATCGCCAATATACAAAACAGGGAAAAAAAGGAGCGGAAATTAAAGATAGTAATATGAACGAAAAGCTAGCTTTCACTTGTAATTCTGAGTAACCAGACTCCTCCTTGTCGATCTCTACAGCAGCCCTCCCTCCAAAACAAAAGGCTATAACAAATGGTAACAGCGCCAGAATCCAACACAGTACTGGTACCAAAATAAACAAGTTCGGTAGGAAGCACGAACCGACCTCGATGGTGTGGAGAGTACGTGTTGCATGTTCGACGCAGTAGGATACCATTCCATATTAGAGCAACCCCCACCGAACGAAATATGGCTGCTAGACGCAAATGTAGAGGCGTATGCAAAGGTTTGTAGAAAGAATAGAGTCCAACGATCGTTGGTATGGCCAGAACAAGAATGCTTTTGCCTAGTTCCTGTTGGCGTAAAATTGATAAAACTGGGTGCGAATTAGTTGGAGATGGTGAGGTCTGAAGATTAGAGTAAGTAGGCTTTTTCGAGGGTAGCTTTGGGGAGTAGTTCAATGAGTTTCCATGAGTACTCGTTGCTTTCATCAACTTAGGCTTCGGCTGCGTCAATAGAGGTGCTCCGGCTCCTTCATTGGGTTCTGCCGATGGTGATGGTGATGGTGGTGGTGATGTCGATGTTCATGGTGAGTTTAGGTGAACATGAACCAGGCCTTCCGTGAAAACATTTCTGTAGTCCTAAGTTGATGATGATGAAGGAGGACGTGGTGGCGATGGCGGCAATGTAGTAGATGAAAGCGGAGAACACGTTTCCCTGAGGATGGCGTTTCTTGATCAGGGGAACAGTCAACTTCTTCGAAAGTATGACTATTTATTGATCTATTTAAGAAATACTGTTGGATGCTAGAGCTTGACCTTCTAAGAGTTGACATAAGCCATGATAATGCACCATTCTTAAGGTACGAAGTGGGCTGCATACCAATCTCTTCTACTTCCATTCCTATTGATCGAGAAACTAGTTAGAATCCCAACTTTTCCCCAGCAGAGGCATATATTCCTACTTTTTCATTGAACACGAAACTCTTAATATATACTCCATCGGAGAAAGACAAAAGGTTGATATTCAAACTGTTTTGGTAAAGGGGAGTGTGCTTGTAGATAGATAGGTAAAGTGGGAAATAGGGGCAGCAAGTAGATCAGAAGAGGGCACAGTTGACTTTGAGAGAGATCGAGAGGAGCAGAATGACTTTCTCACTTCCACCATAACCAAACAGGTGACTAACTCATATTTTCATGGAACAAGGGTCAACAAGATGCCTTAATGACACAGATTATGATTTCAGATAAGAAATCAACCACAAAACACATTAGAACCATCTTAAACCCCCAAAATACATGTAGGGGCTGAAACATGCAAAGACTCTGGATTCTAGTCGATTATCAAAATACCATGTAATTGTGTTGAAATCATCCTCTCTCTATATATACACTTAAAACTGCATGCTTTTCTTTGAGTAGAGTGAATTCTGTTGTTCAATAGCTTAAAGAAATGCGATTCAAAGAAATGGCCAGGTCTGTGTTTTAGAGACTTGAACAAAAAGCTTTCACAGCAAAACCTAGTTTCATGGCAAGTACGGCTATAGTGTAAAGTCACCAAATCTTTTATTTTAACTGAATTTTTCATAGGCTCAATAATTTTATAATAATATAATTAATTATATTAAAAATATATAAAAATTAAGGTAATTAATAAAATATTTTTACCTAGTCTCTCATTTCTTTCTTTTTAAATTAATTCTCAACTATTTTTCTTATTTTCTATTAAAAATAGGTAAAAATTAAGATAATTAATACAATGACATATTTTCTCACTTCTTCATGTGCCTAATAAATCTTAATTTTTTTAAAACTTCCCAATTCCCACAATACTATTAATTATCAACTATTTCTTTTATTTCCAATCTACTAACTTAATATGTATTTAATGATCTCTCACAACTAATTTTTTATACATAAAATTAATTATTTTTAATTTATAATATAAAAGTTTAATTAGAAATTTTACATCTAAAAAGCAAAAAGAATGAAATTTTAATAAAATCTTTTTTCTTAATTTCAATTAAGAAAAAGACTTCATTGACTTCATTTGAATATTTAGCTATAAGCCTTTACGATTATTGAGCCTAACCTTAAATAATTATGTTAAATTCTTTAATACAGGTTTAATTTTACCTTGCATTTGCTTTCATGGTCTGGAATTAAATTTGTATTTTGTTTTTGAAATGGTTGTACTTCACTTTGTTTATAAAGGTTAATTATGTATGTATTTGCCTATTATTTTTTTTTAAAAAAAAAGTTCCATTTGTTCTTTGATTGTAGTCTCTAAACACTGTATCCAAAGGAAGAATTATTAAATAAATATTTATTAACTATCATGTCCATCTTAGTATAGATTTATTTAATACTTTTTATATGCATGAAGGGGTTTCTTTGCTTTATATAGTGACATATAAGAGTACTTTTATTCTGATAATACAGGTAATCAATACATTATTATTGGCTGATCAAAGCATAGATCGAAGCCTTTATGATTTGATTATTGAGCGTTTAGAAGAGTTGATGACTAAACGCAGCAACATTGTGGATGAGATATTCTCGTAGGCGAAGACATGACCCAGAGCTGTATCCTCGGGCTTTGCAAACCCCATCACACTCATCGTCTCCAAACTGTGGTTCCCCAGAACATGCACGAAAGCAAAAGTAATCACCTCCTACTTCACCATCTGCACCCAATCATATTATATCAGAATTCATTATAATTAATATATTTCTACTCTTTAACCCTAAATTCCCACTTTTCCAACATCAAATTCAACGACGTGAACATCAAAGATAAAGATTTTATGTTAATCAAAGAGATATTTCATCTTTTTATTCTAAAACATTCATGCAAAGTCGTTGTGCTTATCTATTTATATTTGATCCTATATATGTGAATATTTCTATATGTGTGTATATACTCCATAAGCTACCTTTGACCTAGTTAATTGCAAAAACAAAGAGATAAAAGGGTGGGAGATGAGAGATTACCAGCGCTAACAAAAGAGACAGTAAAAGCAATTACAATGAGAGAGACAAGGAAAGATTTTCCCACTGCCATTGGAGATTGGAGAGAAATAAAATGACAGAGAGGAGAAGCTCTCTTTATTTATAAGGCTTAAACTAGGATTAATTAAACCTACCTCATCAGAAGAATGTGAACCCTGATATATGGCTAAAGAAATGCTACTAAAAAGAAAAAAAAAAAAGGGTCATTCAGGAATCATGATTCGTAGTGGCAAAAGAAATTCAATAGGGCAGAATTTTCTTTTAACATTTAGAAGTGTAACTCATTCATGAATGAGATTATAATTATTAATTACTGTATTGTATCTTAACTTGATAGATTTCTATTGATAAGATTGAT